ACAGTGACAGAGGGCCCCTCTTTGGGGATTCCAAGGTGTGGGAGGCCAAAGTGTCCCAGAATCAACCTATTGAGGCCTGGATAGGGAGCCAGGGACCTGGAGGCATGGGCACAGCTGTTTTCTCTCACCCAAGAAGGCTCCCTGACTCAGACATTCAGTAGCTTGTCCCCCATCCCTCCTCCCTCAGGCATAGGTGCTCTTCTCTCTCGCCATGGCTTTTCACTTCCTATGGCTCAATGAAAGCACTGCTGGATCTGTGCTCAGACATTGTTTTTCTTACGGTTCTGGTATTTGGCTGGGCTGTACCATCTTCCTGGCAGGTGGACTTCATCCACTCTGTTCTGTCCCCACCCAGGAAGATGGGGCAATGCCAGCAAGCTCTCTAGTGTCCCTCCCTCCCTCCCTTCCTTCCTTCCTCCCTCCCTCCCTCCCTCCCTCCCTCCCTCCCTCCCTTCCTTCCTTCTTTCCTTCCTTCCTTTCTTTCTTTCTCTTTCTCCCCCCTCCTTTCCCTTTGTATATGTGACTGTGCATTGAGGCTGGGGGATAACCTCAGGTGTCATTCTTCAGGAGCTGTCCACCTTACTTTATGACACAAGGGTCTCTCACTGGACTGGAACTTACCAAGACTGGCTGGTCAGTGAGTCCCAGGGATCCTTCCATCTCTGTCCTGCCTGCACGCTGGGATTAAAAGTGTGCAAACCACACCTCGCTTTCCCACAGGACTCTGCTGTGGGAACCCAGGTCCTCTGGCTTATGAACCAGGCACTTCATCAACGGAGCCTTCTTCCAGCACTCTGTCTTTCTTTTCTTACAAGGACATCTGCCAGATGATAGCCCTATCTTCATGATTTAATCTAATCATCCCCACAAGAGGCTACCCCCAAATACTGTCACACTGGGGCTTAGGGCTTCAGTATATAAACTTGCAGGACATGATTTATCTCATAGTGACATGTCAGACCTCACTGGAGTGTCATGGCTGACTGCTCATTGTACTAACATGCTACAGCTGCATGATGACTGGTCACTTCATGTAGAAGCCCCCAGAGGAGAGCTAACTGGCACCACCTCCCCATTCTAAAAGTCCCAACTTCACACTCACAGTCAACCCCTGCAGTAATATCTTCCTAAATTTGTTTCTTTCGTGCCTAGGGGTACTCCACCTCATCCCACCAGATACCAGCCACTGTCTGCATCCATTCCCACCTCATCCCACTGGGTACCAGCCACTGTCTGCATCCATTCAGCCACAAAGGTCCATGATTTTCCACAGGGTGTGAGGCAACTCCAGGGCACATTTTGCAATGAGTGGAGATTGCCTGGGTTTCACAACTGGAGGATGTTATGTACCCTGTCTGAGTGTCTGGGCCCAGCTGTCACTCCTGCACATGCAGACCCAGATGACAGAGCAACAAGTCACACACCCTTGAGTCTGCTGACACCACAGCTTTCCAAGTACAGTAACCTGCTGGGTCAAAACATGACTGCCACCAAGAGCCAGGCTAGGCAGGTGTCCCCCAACCTACTCAAAGTGGCAACCTCCAGCTCTGGCCTATTTGTCCTCATTGACTTGAGTGTGTCCAGATCTGTCCATTTCAATCATACCTGCCTTTTGTGTCCCTGGCTGCCAGGTTGATTTTTTATTTCTTTCTCGTTCCTTTCCCTTTCTTTCTTCCTTCCCCTTCCTTCCTTCCTTCCTCCCTCCCTTCCTTCCTTCTTTTCCTTCTTCCTTTCTTCCTTCTGTTCTGTCTCCTCTCTCCTCTCTCTCTCTCTCTCTCTCTCTCTCTCTCTCTCTCTCTCTTTCTTCCTTCCTTTCTTTCTTTTTGGCTTTTTGGAGTCAAGGTTTCCTTTTAGTAGCTCTGGCTGTCCTGGAACTCTTTCTATAGCCCAGTCTGACCTTGAACTCACAGAGTTCTACCTACCCCTGCCTCCTGAGTCCTCAAATTAAAGGCATGTGTCACCATTGCCCAGTGTGGCTGCCTGTTTTCTATACTCCTTCCCCATGAGCTACCATTTTCCAGGACAGGTTGAAAGACCAACATCTGGCTTTGTCCCTGACCCCCTGACTGAAACTTTGGGCATCTACTTTATGTCTTACTGGACACTTGTTGACCTCTTTATCCAGATAGGACTTGGGAGCCCTACCTCCTAGACCACAGAATCTGAGAGCTACAAAGTGACTTTTACTCTATCTGTGCCTTAGCAGACACCTGGTCAGCCCCCCTCCCCCCACGCCCTTTGCCCAGAAACCGTCTCTCCCTATGTAGGACAGTCATTGAAGCTCTTCCAGAAAAGCATCCTTTTTCCTTTTAAGATAAGGTCACATAGTTCAGAATAGCCCATGATTACAGATGTGCTTCCCCAGGACCGACCCATCCAAGGCCACCAAAACTCCGATAGTGACCTAGTTTGAACTCCTCATTGCTTTGACTGTAGTCTGTGTCAAATATTACTTCCCTACCTAGCAGACAAGATGTGACTGTTTCTTGCCACCTGCCCTGAGGCCTCTGCTGTGTTTTACTGATGGCCTGGGGAAGCTCTGCTCACTTGACTGGTTCTCTGACTCTCTTCCCTGTTCCACTGTTTGCCTCCTCCCTGCGTGGGTGCATCAAGACAAGGGTACAGCGGCATTTCCATCTGTGGGTGTCTAAGTATGTTCTCTGAGAGCTGTGATCCTTAGATCCTTAGAGGTGACAAAACAATGGTGTTCGCTCCCCGTGCTCGGTAGATAATAGTTAGATATGTCCTAACTGCTGGGACCTGTGAAAGGGACCTGTGTAGGAAGGTTCTTTCCAGATGTGATGAGGTTAAAGATCTTGGAGAGGGTCAGTCAGGTGGGTGATAACTTGAGTCACATACAGGTAGGCTGCAGATGTGGCTCAGCAGGAGGACACTTCCCGGGCATGCTGCAGGCTCTGGGTTCCTTCCCCAGCTCTGCCATAGGCAGAGAGAGTGGACAGGAGACTTGTTGTGAGACAAAGTCCATGTAAAGACAGAGACATCGATTGGAAAGACGAGATGAGTCAAGGGTTTCTGGTCAAGGGCACCTGAGGCTGGAAGACAGAGAATGCCCTGGCATGGTCCTCCAAGGGAACTGGGCACCACCTAACATTAACCTCGATTGTCCACAATGTTCCTCCTCCTGCTCCTCCTCTTCCTCCTCCTCCTCTTCTCTCTCTCTCTTCTTTCTTTCCTCTCTCTCTTTTCTCTCTCTCTCTCTTCTTTCTTTTTTCTTCTCTCTCTCTCTCTCTCTCTCTCTCTCTCTCTCTCTCTCTCTCTCTCTTTAATTTTGAGACAAGATTTTACTCCGTAGCTCTGACTAAACTAGAACTCTCTGTAGACCAGGCTGGCCTCAACTCATGGCAATCCTCCTGCCTGAACTTCCCAAGGACTAGAATTACAGGCATGAGCCACCATATTCATTCTGATGTATTTCTGTCTTCAATGTTGTGAGAGAACACAGCTCTGTTGTCTCAGCCACTTTGGGACATTTGTCTCAGAGGCCTGGCACAGGACACAGCAGGGACAGGAAACTCCCTGAGGGTTTGACTTCACACTCTGCCCATTACTCTCAGGATCACAACTGTGCGGGTTCCTCTCTGGTTTAGTTTCTTTAAAATGCTTCTCTACTGAGTTAGGTTTCACACAGCCTGTAGCCTACACAGTGTAGCTTCACAACTGGGGTTGGGAAGTCATCTTTGGGACCTGCCTGATGCTCTTAACAAGGCCACCCTGGAGAAGTCATCCTGTGTCCCCCACCAATCCCCCACTCCTACTGTGCTCCCTTCCTGGGCCCACATGGGCAGGAAACTAGCAAAGACTCATGGGCCAGAGCTATGTGCTGTGCTGTGCTGTGGCTCCCACTGTCTGAGCTCTGACCACAAGGAAAGGTTATGCCAGACACCAACTGGCAGAGACTCCTTCTCTGCAACCGTGAACTGGGGGTGTGTTTGATGTCTGGGTCAGGGAGGAGCGGGACATAGGGTTTGGTCACTAGTGAGGGACAGTGGCAGGGCTGATCTCAGTCTCCTGCTTCTCAGACCCTAGGAGGTACTTGGTGAAGCACAGAAAGACTGGGGACCTCCAGCGCCATGGCCCTGGAAACACTGATTGTGCCAGAAGCTGTGGGCATGCTTCTCACCCCCAGGAGAGACTCAGAGACAATCATGATACTAAAGGGTTGGGAGATGTGGTTAACAGCACTGGCTGCTCTTCCAGAGGACCTGGGTTCAGTTCCCAGCACCCATATGGCATGTCACACTATCTGTGACTCCAGTTCCAGGGGATCTGATGCTCTCTCTGATCCCTGTGGTTATCAGGCATGCATGTGGTGCACAGGTACATGCAAGAAAACCACACACACACACACACACCATACACACATATATACACACATAGACACAGGCACACACACACACACACATTTATGACATTAAGCTCAGAGAGGTTAAGTAATTTGCCTAGGATCTCACAGTAAATAGGAAATAAAGACATGACACTTCCCCATTGGAGCAATTCCCCTGCCTGTAAAGTCTTCTCTACAACTGTCAGTGTCCTTTTGCCTATTCTATGTATGTCATTTGGTCACAGGGGAGTGAAAATAAAAGTCCCACACTTTTTTCTTCTAGATAGGGACACTCTTATTGTAGGGGGGGGGTGCTGGGGGGAAGTGGAGATGATTTAGCCCCAGGAGGCGTCCTGGAGGAGGTGGCATTGCTGTCAGGAACCTGATAAGGTTTGTCGTCACCTCCCACCCCCATGACTTTTCTCCTCACTAGCTAACTCCTTTCAGCTTTTCCAGAACATTCAGACGCACAGAGAAGCCTGTACAGCCTGCCATTCCGGTTCCCTTAGAGCTGTGCCCAGGAGGCAGGGAGGGAGGAAGGGAGGGCGTGGGGTTTTGGAGGCAGCTGCCCCACCCACCACCTGCTATAGCTCCAAGACCAGGCCCTGCTCTGCCTCATTAAAGGTAGTGTGGTCCCACCTAGCAAGATCGGCAGAGGTAGAGCGAGCCTGGCTGAGAGGAGCCACACATCTGGAACCAGAATGTCTGCTCCGGACACAGGCTCGGAGCCCTCTCCAGGGTAGGTGGGGCCGCTGGAGCTGCTGGCAAAGGGGCCTCAGTACAAAAGGCCCAGGGTGGGGGACAGTTGTGTTGGGAACAGGATATGGAGTCAAGGGTGAGGGACAAGGCCAGGAGCTGAGGGTTTGAGACCAGCATTGAGCCTAGGGCAGTACTCATTACAACAGGACCGAGGGCCTAGATCAGAGGTACACAATCATCTGTCCGGTTCTTCTGAGCCTCACATTCCTGTTACATATAGGAAACACCCAAGAGTCCCAGGACTAGGGACAAACCTCATCCTGTTTGGAGGAGCTCCATGCTGCTAAGGTGGCAGCCATATAAGCAGATGGAGACCTGGCAAGTGACGCCAGAGCTGTGACCAGAGTCAGAAAGGAGGGGACTTCTTGTAAGACATGGCCAGAGCTGAGAAATTTGTTTGTTTGTTTGTTTGTTTGTTTGAGTCAGGATCTCACTGTGCAGTCATGGTTGTCCTGGAATCCACTATGTAGACCAGGCTCACAGAGATTGGTTTGCCTCTGCCTCTGGAATGCTGGTGTGCACTACCACACCCAATCCAGTCTTAGGTTTAAAAAGCTATGTTACCAATGGGGCACAGTGACTTATGCCTGTAATCTCAGCTCTCTAGATGCTGGGGTAGGAGGTGCATGAGTTCAAAGACAGTCTAGACTGCATTGTGAAAGTTGTTTCAAAGAAAACAAAACCAGCGGGGCTGGGGATGACAGAGGGCTTGCATAGAGAGCATGAGGCTCTGCGTCTGATCCCCAGGACTGTACACACAGAGTATAATGGCACGTCTATAATCCCAGCATTTGGGAGGTAGGAGTGGAAGCATGAGGGTCAAGGGTTCTAGGTCATCCTTTGATAGATGTCAGATTCAAGGCTAACTTGAGCTACATGAGATCCAATTATTACCCCACTCCCATGCCCAGTGTGATGGAGGGCACATGCCTTTAATCCCAGCACTCCAAGGCAGAGGTGGTCGGAGCTCTGTGAGTCTGAAGCCAGCCTGGCATACACAGAGAGTTCCAGGCCAACCAGGGCTGTGCAGTGATATCCTGTCCTCCACCTCTACACACAGTGACTCCCATACATCAAACAAAAGCCAGCTGGGCATGAAAGCCCACCTGTGAAGCCACTGTTGGGAGGCAGAGACAGGGAGCCCCCTCGGTTGCAATGACTGGAGCATCTCAAGGACTGAGGTCTGGGTTCAGTGATGCATTCTGCCTCATTAAAGAAAGGGAATTGAGGAAGATAGCAGATGTCAACCTCTGGTCTCCACAGGCACCTGCATGCATGCAAGCAGTCACTCATACATACGAATACACACACCACACATATATGCACACATAGCTCCTCCACACACACCAAATGGGATACATATTAGAACATGGTCATAGTGTTGGTGTAGGAGAGAGCTGTGGGGACTAAAAAACACCCACTGTCCATCAGATGCTTGAGGAAGCTGCTCTCATTTCCTGTCTGTCAATGTGATAAAACACTCTGTCTGGAAGCAGCTTACAGGAGAAAAGGACTGATGTCAGCTTACAAGTCAGAGACTATCACCAAGGAAAATCAATGCCAGTGCTAACTCAAAGTCAAGGAAATACAGCAGAAACCATGGAGGAGTCTGCTTTCTAATTAGCACACAGGCTTATTCTCAGCTAGCTTTCTTACACAGGCCAGGACCACCTACCTAGGGAACGGTGCCACCCACAGTGGGCTAGGCCCTTCTATATCCACGAACAATCAAGATAATCCCACACAGGCAAATCTGGCCTGGGCAATCGCTCATATGTGATTTGCTTCTCAAGTGACCTTAGGGTGTGTCAGGTTGACAGTCAAAGCTAACTGGGACAAATCGGCTTGACGCTCTGAGCTTCACTTCTCATCCTTAGTATGGAGTAATGATACACACTACAAGGCTTAAATAAGATGAGACATGGCACCCCTCTAAATGCCAGTGTTGTGTGTGATGTCCACAGAATCTACCCCGGCTCCCTGCGAAGCAGGTTCCATCAAGACAACTGTCCCTGCTACACCCCATTTCTCACAATCTGCATCCCAAGGCTTTTGCCACACTGCCCCACATCCACAGTGCACAGTGTCCCTGTGGCTTCACTGCAGTTAGAGCCGGGATGACAGCTCTCTGGTCTGCCTCTATGCTGCTTTATAATTACAGACTCGTGCTGCGTAACTGACATGTGACAGTCAGTGTGCACAACAGTCGCCTACAGATTATAGCTGAGCTGAGAGGAGTAGGCTGCCCCACGTTAAGGAGCCCCAGGGACCTTACTACATCCCAGCTTTAGCCTCAGGGAGGCAGTAGGAAGGATGGACACTGTTAGAACCATGGGCAACGTGACCAGGAGCTCATGGAGCTTGGGTGGGGGCACTGTGAGGGCTGGTGACATGTCACCTCAGAAGGAGCTGTAGGGCACAGAGTCTAGGCCAATTGCTCCAGCTGTCCAGGGAGTGGGGAACCAAGTAGCCCCGGCCAGGCCCAGGTCCTCCCTGCAGCGAGTGGTCCCTGGTCTTCCTGGCTAGGGGTCTAGGTGGGGACTCCCCTAGGTCTGGCTGTAAGGAAGGAGGGCCTGGGTCCCCATTCAGCCCTGACAGGAGGTGAGTCTGCTCAGGGACAGTTCTGATCAACATTGCTCTGAGCTGCCTCCTTCTGTAGGGCCCAGCAGAGGGGGGCCTGAATGTGGAGGCCTCAACTGGGAAATCAGCTGTTCTGTCGTGGGGAGGAGGGCAAGTCTGCACTCTCCTGCCTCCACACATTCCTCAGCTGGGACAGCCCCTGGGAGCCTGTAGTAGCTGCTTAATTTAGCCTCTTGTTCTTAAGAACAGGCTCTGTTCTGAGAGTTCTGTCCACAGGGGACTCTGTCCTGAGAGTTCTGTCCACAGGGGGCTCTGTCCTGAGAGTTCTGTCCACAGGGGACTCTGTCCTGAGAGTTCTGTCCACAGGGGGCTCTGTCCTGAGAGTTCTGTCCACAGCAGGCACTGTCCTGAGAGTTCTGTCCACAGGGGGCACTGTCCCAAGAGCTCTGTCCACAGGGGCAGTGTTGTAAGATTCTGTTCACTGCCAAGGAAGTTTGGTGGAGCGAGTTGTAGTGGAACCCCCTCCCTGCAGGTATTAGCTATACGAGGGATCCAGTATGAAATGAAGTTTATTTGGGACATGGAAAGGGGATCTAGGGGGAGGGAGTAGAGGCAGAGAAAGAAAGGGAACAGGGAAGGACAGAAAGTGAGAGGAGAAAGAAAGGAAGAGGGTGGCCGGGAACACATGGAGAGAGAGATGGGGGGGGTAGGGTGGACAGGGAGGAAGAGAGGGGAGCCTGAACAATCTTTAATACATGAGCCAACGCATACCTGGCTGTTGCTAGGTAACTGTTGGGCAGAGCCTAGAGAAAATACTAACACAAACATGCTTCTGTTCACACATGCAAAGCAACACCCATTCCCTCCCAACTCACCACACAAGACACATGTGTGCAGACACTCAGGTGTAAAGATGTGCCCACTGACAGATGCTCCTTACATGTATGTAGACTTGAAAATGGGCACACATGAATACAAACACACAAGCACATGCACACACAGCCATATAAATATCAGCTTCATAATTGGAGGCAAGCCTGGGCTACTACTGTTGTGTGGCAAAACTTTTCCTGGGGTGACAGAACACATATATCTACTCACCCTAGGTAGGAAGGAATACCATGACAAGCCTATGTATGGATACCACCAAAGTTCAACTTGAGGAACCAATAACTTTACAGGTTACTTACAGGAATATAGGTAAGGAGTCACTTACAGGAGCAGAAATGACTCAAAGACAGCTGCCTCACCAAGGCACAACCAAGCATGAGTGACAGCTCCCAAAATCTGGGAAGCCCACTGAGGAGGCAGAAGCAGGTGGATCTCTGTGAGTTCAAGGCTAGCTTAGTCTACAGAGCAAGTTCCAGGACAGTCAAGGCTACACAGAGAAATGCTGTCTTGGGGTGGTGGAGCTAGGAAACTGGTGCTCACTGCACAGCCTGCAGGCAACTCAGTGGAGTGGGAGTGTCCTCTCCAGGTGGCTCTGTTGGTCTCAGTCTCTTCCAGGCAGTTCTGGTTCTCCTACAGTGTTCTTTGCAAAGGGGATGTACTCCTCTCCACTTATGCTGGCAGGGACACACACACACACACACACACACACACACACACACACACACACACACAGAGTGAGAGAGAGGGGCTCAGGGCTCAGGGCTCAGGTATGTGAGCTTTGATGACCTGTGCTCAGTTGCTGGGACCAACTGGAAAGTGGGAGACTACAAATCTGACCTTTGACCTTCACATCCATGTGGTGTGAGCGCCTCTCTTCACATACAATAATAAATAAAATTTAAAAGAAAAAAAGAAAGAAATCTATGACATTGCTTATTTCAAACAACTACAAACAAAAAGTTGTAAAAATAAAACCAAAATCAGAAATATACAGTAACTGCGTGTGCATACAATTCCATTACGTGGCAACTGGCCCATATGGTCCATGGGGGATATGAACCTCAGGGTTGGAGGACAGTTCTTGGAGAGGATGGGAAAGTAGGATGTGGCCGATGTGTATTGGGGAGCTCCCGCGGGCTCTGGGGCTCATGAAGCTCTCCCCAAAGATTGACAGGAGCACAAACTACCAATGAACACTGCCCCACTCTGCAGGGCAGGCCCCTTTGAGACCACACTGCACAGACTCCGGGAGACCTTCTATGCAGGGCGGACTCGGCCTGCTGAGTTCCGGACAGCACAGCTGCAGCGCCTGGGTCGATTCTTGCAGGACAACAAGCAGCTGTTGCAAGATGCACTGACTAAGGATCTGGGCAAGGTACTGTGTGGGGGATGGATGGGGCATCTGGACCACATCCTCTGTGACATCTTGTGCCCTTGAGGAGGACCAAGCCTTCCAGTTTATTTAATGCTTCCTCTATGCATAGACTGCAATATTAACTAAACACACAGGGCACTCCTGAGAGGCCAGCTTAACAGTTTTTCTCAGGTCACAATTTGAGAAACTGAGGCACTCAGTGTTAAGTTGCTTGCCCAAAGTCTCTAAACCAGGCAGTTATAGGTCAGAATTGCAGTCCCCATGGGAGCACCACGCTGCCATTTCACTGTGTTTACATGCATGCTCAAGGGAACTGTCTCAAGCCCTATCTAAACGATAGGCCCCAGCCCAGCCTTGAACCTGACCTCCCCACCCCACAGTCAGCCTTCGAGTCAGACATGAGTGAGATCATCCTGTGCCAGAATGAGGTGGACCTGGCCCTCAAGAACCTGCAGACCTGGATGAAGGACGAGTCTGTGTCCACCAACTTGGTGAGCCCCATTGGCTGAGGGATGGAGGGTGAAGGTGGCAGTGGGGCAGCAGGGCATGGGACAGCCTGCCCCAGGGCCATTCCTGCCCTTGAGACCAAAGTAAACCAGGCTGTGTGTGTGTGTGTGTGTGTGTGTGTGTGTGTGTGTGTATATATGTGTGTGTGTGTGTCTGTGTGTGTGTGTATATATATATGTGTGTGTGTGTGTGTGTGTGTGTGTGTGTATGTGTGTGTGTGTGTTTGGGGGCTCTTACCCATCTGGCATCTGACTATGGCTCTGCATCCTAGCTCACGAAGTTGAGTTCAGCCTTCATCCGGAAGGAGCCCTTCGGCCTGGTGCTTATCATTGGACCCTGGAATTATCCTTTGAACTTGATGATCACGCCTTTAGTGGGGGCCATTGCTGCAGGTGAGTGGGGTTCTGAGTCTTCCTAGTCTGATGATCCTTCACAAAGAAGGCTTCCAGAGTTCTGTGGAGGATGCAAGCACCAGCCTCCCCTTTCTACTTCCCCATTGGCTCCTGTCAGGAAACTGTGTGGTGCTGAAGCCATCAGAAATTAGCAAGAACACAGAGAAGGTGCTGGCAGAGCTGCTGCCCCAGTATCTGGACCAGGTGAGCATGGCTCTGCCTATCAAGCAGCTGGCATTCCCACACCCCTGTCCCGGCCAGTGGGGCGGTCCTCCTGCCTGGGTCTGCCTCCTGAGCTGCTGTCCTGCCTTGTAGAGCTGCTTTGCTGTGATGCTGGGTGGGCCTGAGGAGACCGGGCAGCTGCTGAAACACAAGTTTGACTATATCTTCTTCACAGGTAAGGAGAGCTCTGACCGGGATCCTGGGGTAGGGGATAGCAGATAATACAGTGCAAAAGCATTGTGGGGTAAGGCCATAGGCCAGGGGAGAGGATTAATCCAGAGGCAGAGGTGTCCCTGAGGGTGGCTCTCCAGGTCCTCTGAGAATCTTGGAGATTGGCTCCTGGGTGGTCAGGATGGAGGCAGACTCTAGGAGGCAGGTGGAGCAGCCCAGAGCTTGGGTTGAGAAAGGTCTCTGTGGAGAGAGGAGGCCAAAGTTAATGCCCAGACCAGTTGACCAGGTGCCTCTTGACCATGTCCTCAGGGAGTCCTCGGGTAGGCAAGATCGTCATGGCTGCTGCTACGGAACACCTGACACCCGTCACCCTGGAGCTGGGGGGTAAGAACCCCTGCTATGTGGATGACAACTGTGACCCCCAGACAGTGGCCAACCGTGTGGCCTGGTTCCGCTACTTCAACGCCGGCCAGACCTGTGTGGCCCCCGATTATGTGCTGTGTAGCCAGGAGATGCAGGAGCGGTTGGTGCCTGCCCTGCAGAATGCCATCACGCGTTTCTATGGAGACAACCCACAGACCTCCCCCAACCTGGGCAGAATCATCAACCAGAAGCATTTCAAGCGGCTCCAGGGATTGCTGGGCTGTGGCCGTGTGGTCATCGGGGGCCAGAGCGATGAGGGAGAGCGCTACATTGGTGAGTCTCCTGCCCCTGTCACTGGCACACAGCCTACCTGGGTTGAGACCCTTCCATACTGAAGAGGGCCACATTGGACTGTGGATGTGAACCTCGGCATGAGTCCTTGTATCCTGGAGTTAACCTATTCTTGAGCCATAACTGCACCTAAGCCTGTGACTCCTCAATGACAACCTTCGGCCCCACAGCTTAGCCTCACTGAGCAAAGCCCAGTTGTCTGAGCTTAAGCTTCCATCTGCTTTTCATTGTTCCAGGAGATCAGGTGCCTGGACGCTCAGACCCTGGAGTCCTGAGAGTTCAGATCCTGAGTCTGCCCAGTCTGGAGCTCTGTTCCCATGCTTGCCAAGATAATGAGCAAGGCTGTTCCTCCCTTTCCCCACAGCCCCCACAGTGCTGGTAGACGTGCAGGAGACAGAGCCCGTGATGCAGGAGGAAATCTTTGGTCCCATCCTGCCTCTGGTTACCGTGGGGAGCCTGGATGAAGCCATTGAGTTCATCAACCGGCGGGAGAAGCCGCTGGCGCTGTATGCCTTCTCCAACAATAGCCAGGTGTGGCCTCTCAGGGCTGGGGCCACCGACTGGGTGAAAAAGGGACAAACTGGTCACACCTCCTTCTTGGGGCTTTAGACTAATACTGCAAGTTTTAGCAGCCAGCCTGGTTCCACTGAATACTGCACAAAGACAGCACACAGGCAGGGCCACAGGTGCTAGGTGCATGATTGGCCAGCTATCTGTCCTGACTGGGGCAGCCTCTATTGACAGTAACAAGTGTGCTAGGGATGCCCCTCCTCCCTTCTGAGCCGTGCATAAATCCTTATAAGACTGAAGGACAACACCATTCCCGGCTCACAGGCAGCACCTGCCTGGCTGCAATGGGGATCCACTCTCTCAACAGTTATAACCGCCTCGAGCTCATGATACTAGGCATTGTAAAGTGCGCCCCCTAGTGAGTGCTTAAAATAAGGGACTGCTCAGTGCAAGAAGGAGCTGGGCGAGGCAGTGCAGAAGGGAGGACTCACTATTCTCCCAGGGGACTGTCAGAACTCACCCACCCACCCCTGTTCACTTCCACCTCTTTCAGGTGGTGAACCAGATGTTGGAACGCACCAGCAGCGGTGGTTTTGGAGGCAACGATGGCTTCCTCTACCTGACCCTACCAGCTCTGCCCCTGGGAGGAATTGGTGAGTTCCTGCCCTGCCCCGCCCTCCATAGTCCAGTTCTCATCCCAGAAAGTTCTTTGCTACTCCATTTGGATCTAGCCTCTGGGCCTCTTATGGCCTCAGTTTCCCTGTCTGTAAATCATTATTTGACTGCCCTGCCCTTCTCTGAATTCCCTTGCAAGCTCCAAGCTTCTGGTCCTGGCAGGTCCTTCCCAGGCTGGCATGCAGGGCTCCCCAGGTGCTGTCCTCACACTCTCTCTTGCTCTCTGTGTCCTTGCAGGCAACAGCGGGATGGGCAGGTATCACGGCAAGTTCTCCTTTGACACCTTCTCCCACCAGCGTGCCTGCCTGCTGCGCAGCCCAGGAATGGAAAAGCTGAATGAGCTCCGTTACCCGCCTTATGGTTCCTGGAACCAGCAACTGATAAGCTGGGCCATGGGCTCCCAGAGCTGCACCCTCCTGTGAATGCCACCTTGACTCCTCTCTCCTGCTGCCCTGCCCCAACCTACCTGAGCTTTCAGCAGCTTTCAAGCCCCCAGTGGTTTCTGGAAGGCAGGTGTCTGGCCCAGACTGTGAACACCCCACTTCTGGAACTTTTTTTGTTTTTGTTTTTGTTTTTTGTTTTTTCGAGACAGGGTTTCTCTGTGTGTAGCCCTGGCTGTCCTGGAACTCACTCTGTAGACCAGGCTAGCCTCGAACTCTCGAACTCAGAGATCCGCCTGCCTCTACCTCCCAAGTGCTGGGATTAAAGGCGTGCGCCACCACTGCCCGGCCTGGAACTTTTTCTGAACACACCTCCAGCCAGGCAGGACCTCCAGGTGGCTGGTCTAGCCCTTTTCCATAGCACAGCAGCTTTCTGATCTTCTGCTTAGACAGAGAAGCCCCCTCCCCAAGTTTAAGCAGATCTGGTGACTAAGGGGATCTTTTTTTTTGTCAGATCATAACAGAATCCCAAAACACAGAGCAGTTGCTCACAACTCCAACCACACCTGGAAGGTGGCTTTGTCCCACCTGAAGTGACATGATCATGAACCCAGATCAGATTAACTGGTGAAATCTGAAGTGTGTCTGTCACTGGTTACTTTCCTGTAGCTTCTATTAAGTGACCTGACATGGGCAAGTTCAGAGGGGAAGGATTCACTCATGGCTCATGGCACCAGAAGTTTTCATTCCCTAAGACACAGCAGACATGACAGAATACAGGTTAGTCATAGGATGGCAGGCAGGAAACAGCATGATAAGAAGGAAATCATGGTTGATTAGTTATGCCTGCTCTGGGCCCAGGCAGGGGTACGTATATACGTATTGGCCACATCTCCACTCCTAGAAAGATGTAACGAGAGGTAGAATATTAAATTTGAGACTTGGGGACAAAGAGATAGCTCAGTGGTTAAAAGCACTGACTGCTCTTCCAAAGGATTCAGTCCCGGCACCGACATGGCAGCTTACAATCATCTGCAACTCCAGTTCCAAGGCATCCAACACCCTTTTTTGGCCTCAGCAGGAACCAAGCATGCATATGATATCCAGACATACATGTTGGCAAGACACTCATACATGGAAAATAAAATAACAAAATCTTTGAAAATGGAGGCTTTGGACTGCGTGTGGTGGCACATGCCTTAAATCCCCGCAGCAGCAGAGACAGGTGGATCTTTGTGATCTTTGTAACGCTAGCCTGCTCTACAAAGGGATTCCAGGAATATGTAAAGAGTCGATCTCAACAAACAAAAAACCCAAGACTTCATCTAAACACGGGGAAACTGAGGCCTCGAGTCAAGACAGGGCTGTGTTAAGTTCACAGAGGCAGGGGCAGAGCTGAGGCACAGCTTTGTTGAGGATCGTGGGGCTGGAGGCTGGACAGACAGGATATCTGGCCCCTGGGATTGGCCCCTTGTTCTTCCCTGGTCCCCACCCTGGAGGCACCTGCAGTCCCCAACCTTGGCTATCGGGCTCCTCATCCTTAGACTCACAGCAAACCTGACTAGTGGCCTGGGTTTGAGAAAATTAAAAGATGTGTGGTCTTGGATATTTTGGGTGATGGCATTTCCAGAATGGGTACATGGGGGACACAGCAGAGGCACAAAGCAGGAGCTTGTGGGTAGATGGAGCAGAGAACGGATAAAGAGAGGAGGTACCTGCTGAGGGCAGAAGAGTGTATGGATGAGGGCTGGCTGGATGAGGTGGTCGGATGACTGGTGGGCTAGTGCATGGGGACAGGTGAGTGGCAGGTTTGGGCTTCAGTAGGGTCATGTGGGACCATCTATAAGTGCTGGGCCCACATTAGGCACCAGGGAGGCCATAAGAAAACAGACAATACAGGTCCATCGTCCTACATCCATCCCAGGACATCTGGTTAGTAAGAAGAAGCCGTAGGACAGCGCTGGAGCGAGAGCTAAAGGCAACAGAGAAGGTTGTGGAAAGACAGTGTGTAGCAGGACCCCAGGTCTGGAGTGGGAGGCCATGTCTGACTGCAGGTAGGATTCAGGAAGAGGCATATATCTGTGTAAGACCATGGCAAAGGGCCTCCTGCCTTGTGAGGGCTGTCGGTTAGTCTTTTTGACAACTTGACATAAACTAGAGTCATCTGGAAAGAGGAAACCTCAACAGAGAAAATGTCCCCATCAGATCGGCCTGCAGGCAAGTCTGTGGGTCATTTTCTTGATGTATGAGTCTCATGGGGAAGGCCCAGCTCACTGTGGGTGGTGCCATCCCTGGGCAGTTGGTCCAGGGGTGTGTGAAGAAGTGGGCTGAGCAAGCCATGGGGAGCAAGCCAGTAAGCAGTATTCCTTCATGGACTCTGCTTCAAGTTCCTGCTATCAGGTTCCTGTCTTGAGTTCCTGTCCTGACTTTCTTCAATGGTGAATTTGTATAAACCTGTAAACCGTTTCATTCCAAGTAGCTCTGGTCATGGAGCCTTTATCACAGCTCCAGAAAGCAGGATGCTGTCCCTTGAGCTGTTACAGCTCCTGACAGGCAGCACCAAGTTCCGAAAGTCTTACCTAATACAGTGTAAAGCTGTTCCCTGGGGCTGTACCTGTGGACCACAGAGGAATCTCAGTGCCCTCCAGAGGACTACTAAGAGATGCCCCATGATCCTCTGCTCCAGCATGGCCAGTGAAGTCTATTCCTATCCAAGCATCTGTTCTCTAGAAAGCAGGCACAAGAGGACAGAAGCCAGCTCTGTCTGCCTGCCATGCCCAGTAACCAGCCAGAGCTGTCCCCGCCTGATACCTGAATTGAATTAATAAAGCAAGTGTGGGAGGGCTGAGGGGCAGAGAACAAAGTCACCCCCTAATCTGCCTTCTCTCTCTCCCTCCCCACAACTACCCATGCAACCCTTGAGAAGGGGCCAAGTGTCCACACCTGGGTATCCTCAAACCCAGGTCCTGGCCCCGAGAACTAGTGATCGTGGCCACAAGGCTCCCTGTCAGTCCTCACATGGCTGCCCTTCCATGTTTCTACGTCAGCTAGGTTCAAATTTTAATCTTCTGATTCACTGAACCTTTTAGGCCAGCTGGGCCTTCACCCTTCTCAGCTGCAGTGCTGGCTACACTCCCCTCCACACACCTTCTCTATATCACCAGGTCCTTTTCTGTTTCTTCCCCCCTTCTCCAGGAGGAGGTCATGTGGTCTCTTGGCTGGTCCCTGGCTCAGCCTCATGGGTCCTTCCTTTCCTGGCTGGTTTCCCTGGGCTGGCTTCCACACAGCATCCAAAGCATTTTCAGACACAGACAAAGCCGACTGTCAGCCCCTAGCCCTTGGGGAAAAACACCAGGCAGATTGCTGTAAGGCCTGAGAGAGACCATCCCAGAAGGAAGCTGGAGGATCAGCTACATGACACACACTCATGTCTCCAATGACACCTTGGGAGTCACTGGCAGGGAGATGGCAGGTCATTTGTGAAGAACAGACAGAAATGGGAGTCTGGAGAAAAGCTGGTAAGACAGTGGCCAGTGTCACTTTTCTGAGAGTTCAGCAGAGCAGGCACAGGGAACAAAAGATGTCCGACTTTTACCAAGCTATGACAGGGAAGCCAGAGGAGCTGAGCAGACAAAGGGAGCCATAATCTGATCAAGAAAGGGGAGGATCGGCCTGGGCTTCAAAGCCACTGGGTCCATGATTCTCAGGCATGGATTTCAGGCCAAAGACCCTCTTGGATCAAGATTTACAACTTGGGGGTGGGATGACAGTAGCTTAGTTTGAATGCATTTCTGGGCCTCAGTTTCCCTAACTAGAGAGATGTTGGGCTCTAGCTCACACTCACTTTGGGGTGTTCTTTTTCTTCTGTACTCCCCACTGCTGTCTGGAGCTCAGAGATGCGTCACTCTCATTTCTCATGCAGGATCTAAGGCCCAGGCCTCTCTCCAGGTCACACAGCTTGTCAGGAGCTGTCTTCTTCCTGGGGCTCAGGGGCATAACTCATCAGGCCAGCCCAAACTTCTCTTCACAACCGAGTCTGCAGACAGACAGACAGACAGACAGGCAGATGTATGTGTGTCAGAACATACACACGTGCACGCACACACACACAGAGACAGAGAGAGAGAGAGAGACAGAGACAGAGACAGCGCTAGGACTCTGCTTCTATGTTGGATCCCAGCCCCATTTCCAGTCTACAAACTCATAGAACAAGAGAAGCTAGACCCAGCTGAGGAAGTAAGACATTTCCCACTGCGGCACCCCCATAGCTGAACCTCCAGCAGGAAGGGCCCTGAACCCTCCAACCCCCCATAAACAGCCAGGTTGCTAAGCAGTCCCTGTTTGCAAGGCCCTGCAGGAGTCAGCAGGACTTCAGACTGAACACCAAGGCTTTAGGCTGGAGCAGGGCAGGGAAGGAGCCAGGATATTCACCCCTCCAAGGGCCCTGGCCACCTGCAGGGGAAGGGCTTGGAAAACAGCCCCAAGAAATGTTGACAAAAGGTCTGTGACCTTCTGCGTAGACCTCATGAAGGTCTCTGCCCTCTCTCCACTGAGGCTCCAGACTCCAGAAAGTGTGCCCAGGGCCACACTTCACCGCTTCCGGCGCTCTGCCAAAGGACAGCTGCCAGGCCCCATGAGAACAAAGGTGAGGAGCCACACGGCTCCGCGGTCCCCACATGGCTCCGCGGTCCCCACACTGACAGTGCCGAGGGGTGGGGGAGGGTGAGAGAACAGACTCAGTCTAGAGGAATCTAAGCGGCTTTGACAAGGTCTCAGAAGGCCCCAGCTACCCAAAATGCCTAAACTGTCTGGTAAGCTTGGGCCTACAGCAGGAGCAATCTAGTTCCTCCGAGATATCAGGACATCCTGGGACATGAGGCCTGACCTCAGAGCCCACACGCAGTCAGTGGACATAGTTAATCGGATGATTCAGTGGGCTGCATGCTTTGGTTCACTGCTTCTTTCCTCAGCGACCTCTAAACAGTGCTTTGCTCCTGCCAGTGGACAGCTGAACTCAGTAGGAGGGACAGCTATGGGTCAGGAGGACAGGACTTCCCCGGGACCCCACAGAGGCATCAGGGAGACGAAAGGATCACACCTTGTCTTCCAGGTCCAACTGTCGTCCCCCACAACCCCCAACTGCCGTGTTCAATATACCCTTAGGTACTTTGCTGAGCCTCAGTTTCCACATCTGTAAACTGGGCCTGAGTGTTGTTTCCCAAAGCAGAGCAAACAAAGCTATTTCAGTTACAGCATCCTTGAAGGCCATCACAAAGACCAGGCAAAACATTTTGCACTTTTGTTTGAAGCATCAGTGAGCTATAAGATTTGAACCCAATAGGCCACAGCTTGAAAGAGGTGGAAGGTGGGCCAAGAGCTGCAAAGACAGAGGCTGGTGCAGAGGGAAGGTGGCAGGGAAGGGGACTCCTTTTCTGATGGGCCCCAAAGTACAGGGCTGCTGTGGCCAAAACCAAGTCACTGCCCACCACTGTCTGCCTTAAGTAGCCTCAGGGAAATCACCTCTCTGCATGGATCGAGCAGGACACCAGGCAGGCCTTGTCTACCTATGTGGGACCAGGCACTGGACCACTGGTACTTATTAGTCAGCAAAGCCAAGTCCTTTCTGAGGACTGGGAGACATGATTTCAGATCCAGAATCTCTGGGCAAGTGCAGCTTCAAGCAGGAGTCCCCAGAGACCCTTGCAAGTAGAACTGTCCCCATACCCTGAGCATGAGCAGAGGGCAAGCACAGGAACCTGCTCCAGAGACCTGGACCCATTAAGCCGAGGGGGAGTGGGGGGCGGAGCTTAGAGGGTAGGGGTGGGGCTCTGCGAACTTTGGCTGCATGGCTCTCAGCCCAGCTACCCGCCTCCTGTTCTCTGCTGACTTGGCACAAACACTTCCTGCCTGGGGCCTGCAGGCCTGTAAATACAGCCACCTAGGAAGTGGATGCATTAGGCCTGTGGCCTAGGGAAGAAAGCCCAGGTCGTACCAGCAGGTAAGAAGCCTCACAGAGGCTCCCAGCCAGTTCAGAGGACGGACAGTGCAGAGGTGACGTGGAACCCAGAGACTTGCTGCACAGTTTAGGGGGTGACAGTCTTCTCTCCCTGGAAAGCTTAGCATTGACTTTACCATCTATAAAATAGTTCTGTGGTGATGGTGATGTGGGTGGGAACAGTCTACCTTCTGAATGTATGAGTCCCCCTTCTTAGCTTAGGTCCTCGGAGAGATCAACACTCACCCTCAGAACATTCCAGAAGAGGGACTGAAGTTGCAAGGGGGACAAAGATTTGGCTGCTAGTGTCTTGAACTTGGCTTCTGTGTACAGGTGGGTCATAGCTGACACCACCAACCAGCTACCTCTTCACGAGCAGCCCCCTGCCTCAGACTCTTCTGGCTCTGGATACTAGGCTTCACATCTCTTGTGGACTCCTTCCTCACACTGGGATGTGCTCCCTGCCTGGGTCCCGGGAGCCTATGCTGCGTGTGGCCGTGACTGGGGGTACCCATGGGAATGAGATGTGTGGCGTCTACCTGGCCCGGTACTGGCTACAGTCCCCGGGGGAGCTGCAGAGACCCAGCTTCTCAGCCATGCCAGTTCTGGCTAACCCAGCAGCCACGGCTGCCTGCTGTCGTTACATGGACCGTGATCTCAATCGCACCTTCACCCTCACCTTCCTTGGGTGAGTACCCTTGGCCAGGTTGGCAGGTCCACAGCCAGGTACTAGCATCGCTACAGACTGGCCTCTGTGGCTAGCAAGGTGCCTCTGCCTTTTCTCAATGAACAAATGGTTTAGAGAGATCCAGATCAATGTCACCTCTTCCAGGAAGTATGTCCTGACTGTAGGCCAGACTCTTACCAGCTGGAGTGAGACACACATGGGGAACAGGACCGATGTGTGAGCCTCAGGTTACTAGACACAAAGAAAAAGACTAGGGTGGAGGTAGGACTACATGAAGCATCTGGCCTGGCCAAGAGCAATCAGGAAAGGCTTCCTGTAGGAGGTGACATCTCAGCTAATCCCCCAAAGGTAAGAAGTTAGCCAACAAAAGGGAGACTGAGATGATGGGGAATAATGTCCCCCATTCCTTTCCCCACAGTTCCACAGCTACCCCCGATGACCCGTATGAGGTGAAAAGAGCCCGAGAGTTGAACCAGCTACTGGGACCCAAAGGCACAGGCCAGGCTTTTGACTTTATCCTAGACCTGCACAACACCACAGCGAACACTGGGGTCTGCCTCATCTCTGAAGCCTCCCACAGCTCCTTCAACTTGCACCTGTGCCACTACCTACAGGTGGTCCCTAGAGGGCAGGAAGGAGGGCAGGGAGGGAGCAGAGGGACCAGTGCCACCTCTGTTTCCCAGAGCCTGCCACCTGAAGTGGGGCAGGGTGACCCTGTGCTTCCTGCACACTGCCCTTCCCAGCCAGCATCAGTGCCTCAGTTTCCCCTACCAAGAAGGCCTGGGTCCTGACCGGACCCTCTCACCCCACAGCTGCAGAACCCGGGGCTGCCCTGCCGCCTCTTACAGTATGACGCACCTGGGACGGAGACCTACAGCGTGGAATCTGTGTCCAAGAATGGAATCTGTGAGCTGAGGCGTGGGATGCAGAACAGGAGGGGTCAGCAGGAAGGGGAAGGAGCCAGAAGGGGTGGAGTTAGAAAGGATAGAAAAGGTGCTTGGAGAGCAGAATGGGGGAGGGCAGGGATGGGGCTGGGGCCGGGGCGGGGACGGGGGGGGGGCGGGTTGGACCACCAATACATGTTTAGGCCTGGGGCGTCTGCCTGACCTCTCCTTTCCTGGCCCCCAGGTCTGGAGCTGGGCCCCCAGCCTCAGGGCGTGCTGCGGGCCGACTTGTTCTCTCGGATGAGAACTTTGGTGGCGTCCATTCTGGACTTCATTGAGCTCTTCAACCAAGGTGAGACCCTCCAGTAGCTTTTCAGGGAAACTGAGGTCTGAGGAAAGGGTTGGCTTCTGGAAACCAGAGGCACAAGTGGTCACACCCAGCCTCTACACAGGCATGGACTTCCCTGCCTTTGAGATGGATATCTACAGGAACTTGGGCAGTGTGGACTTCCCACGTACCACGGATGGTGACCTGGCTGGCACAGTGCACCCTCAACTGCAGGTCGGTGTTGTAGGGGCCGGGGATACCCTGAACATCCGACTGAGCCCCCAGTACCTTAGAATCCCGAGCTGGACAGGAAGCTGGTGCAGTCCATACCTGCACCTAGAGCCCCGCCCTGGTCCTGGCATTTGGAGCAGCTGAAGTCTTCACAGTGGAGTGAGGGAGGCTGGTGGATGCTGTCCTCCTTTAACTGGAGAAGCAGGAGGGAGGAGACAGAAACTATTCTTTTTCCATGGATATGTAAGCAGCCCCGTGGCTGTGAGCTGACTGTCCACAAGGGGTCGCTGTTAAATGGCGGCTTGTGCAGTCCTGTAGCCTTTTTCTACAGCAGTCTTAGTCTTTACCCTATTTATGACACCTGGGAGAGCATCCTAAGCCACACCTGCCCATAGGCTTTGCAAATGCTGTATAACAACAGTTATTTTAGAGATTTTACTTTAAAAAATATAGACATATTCTACGTTTTGTCCAAGAAGAGACTGTATACAGGAGTGATTCTGGTGAGAGCATTTCTTGGTGACATCATAGCCATTTTAATTTGCATAGTATGCACCATGATGTTCTTGAAACAACAAAATCATCCTGGTGACACATTTCTCAGAACTCAGAACTTATCTCTAAGCAGTGCTCCTTGGCAAGGGTAGGATTACTCTCTCCTTGGGGAGCATGGAGGCAGAGGTCACGGCCCCAGCAATCTTGGCCTTGGCTCTTCTCCAGGACCATGACTTTGAGCCACTGAGGCCTGGTGAGCCCATCTTCAAGCTGTTCAGCGGAGAGGACGTACTGTATGCGGGGGACTCCATTGTGTACCCTGTGTTCGTTAATGAGGCTGCCTACTACGAAAAGCACGTGGCCTTCCTGAAGACTGAGAAGATCCGGGTCTCGGTGCCTGCTCTGCCGGGGCTGACCCCCAGCTCCACCCAGACTCCCTAACCCAAGTCATACCTACCTGACCTCAGTTTTCCTATCTGAACAATGGGTCCCAAGGCACAGTTCCAAGCTCAGGATCCCCTGTCTCACTCTAGACACCATGTCCTTTTCCAGACAACTGAGCTCATGATATAAAATAGACTGTGCCCAAAAATTCACAATTCTTGTTCTTTGCCCAGCTTGGGTTTTGACTAGGGAGGTGGATGGAGGAGGAGAGGGATGCCCACAGGATCATGCATGGACCTTTACATGTGGGCATACTAAAGGGGAAACTGGGGGAAGGGCCAGCTAATGTAACCTTGGGTCTGGGCCAGTGATAGCCGTCTCTGTGCCTCTCTTTGGCCACACATCCTGGGGATAGAGACACCCTCCTATATATGTGGAAGAGGATCTGGAGATGGACTTCCAGGAGCCCGGTGGGAGGGTTCCCATCCCCTTATTGGCATGTGCCCATGTAAACATATACAGCTGTGCTTGCCCAGGTTTGTGCCTACCCAAGTATGTGTGTGGTCCCAAGAGTCCTGGGCCTTGTAGTGTTCTTTTGAAGGGATCTGTGCATAGCTAGGCACATGGCCCAGATGTGAATTTCCAGGTGGCTCAGGAGAGTCAGGATGCAGACAGGGTTCATCTAAGATAACTGCCCAGCTGCAAAGGTACTGGGAGGAGACGGCCTGGGTTGGGGCAGAAGGAAGCCCAAGAAAGAAGCCAAGATCCCTTCACCACCACCACTACCTTCTCAACCATTCCTCACACCAGCATGAGGGGACCAGTGAAAGGTCCTGGTGGTGTCCCTTAGTCCTCAACCAGGTGCCCTGCTGGGCAGGCTCAGCATTGCAAACTACTCAGGAAAGGTCAGGATCTAGGGCCCAGAGCTCTTCCCTCCCACAGTTGAACTCTCTGGGCCTCTGCAGTCTGCCTGGCTCATTCATCTCCCTGCGGCCATGGCTGCCACGCCGCCTCCTGGTATTGAGCTGCTAGATGAGAAGGTGTGAAGGATATGGGTGCACCAGGGAGCAGCTGGCAGGAAAGATGGATGAGAGGGCAGTGGGGCCAGCAGGAGCCTGGGGCAGGAGGGAGGACTGCAGGGCGGTTTGCCTTGCACAGTGTGCATGCATTCATGTACTGGGCTGTGGGTCCTACCAGTGAGGCTATATATATACAGAAGCCCCGCCCACTGTCCTGCCATGGATAAGGCTTTGAATTCATGAGTGTACATGTAGGCATGTGAGTTAGCATGTTTATGTTCGTATGTGTGTGTTTCCGATTACATGTATCAAAGGAAGGCACACACACACACACACACACACACACACTCGTCAAGGCCCAGCAGAATCCAGGCTGGCCCACTTCTGAGAATCTAGGCTGAGGAGGAGCTGCTAAGACTGGGACAGGATCCCCAAACCTCTCCCTTTTCTCTCCTACTTCCCACCCACCACACTGAATTCTGGGACAGGAGGTCTGGGGTACACTTCATTGGAAGACCCTGGGAGATGCTGGTACCTTTTGACTTGCAGACAACATTCCTTTCTTGCCTGGCTGAAAGCTCCAAAGCCAGTGTTAGTGTCCAATGGAGAATGGATTTGTTCAGGGTGGGAACCTCCCAACTGCCCCTCAGCACCCTGAGTCTGTGAGTGTGTGTGTGTGTGTGTGTGTGTAGGCACGTGTGCATGCACACACATCTGTCTCCAGCTTCAAGCTGGAATCGGGGGCTGAGGAGCATTGGATGAATGGCAGGGAGAGGCAGGACTGTCTAGCCTGTGCCCCAAGTGTCACACTCAGAGAAAAGCACCCCCTCCAGCCATGGCTTGGGGCCTGCCCCTGTTTGCTCCTGGCAAAGACCATGGCCTCTATGAACACAGCCTTCTAGCACCAGACTCTGTGGAGGCTTGGATACTCCCTCCCAGGGTGCACTGAGGTAGCCTAGCCAAGTGGGCTGTTAAGTACAGGCCACTAGTCAAGGGACACTCTCAACAAAGGAAGCATAGACCTAGAGGAAGCCCAACCTCTGGGCAGTGACTTGGTTTCCCTCAGAACAGATGGGGAAGCTTGGAGGAAGTGCCTGGCAGGAGAGGGACCAGTGTGCACAGCACATGCTCAGCCTGCCTCAGTCTACCTAATGGAGATGACATGTGACCATCATGTGAGGGACCACCCCTGCTATGCTGCTTTTCACCTAAGGCAGGATCATCACAGGCAGAGAGATTGTTCACTGAAGTCAGGGACACCAAGGCACCGGACTGACAGGAGAATCAGAATATCTTACCACCCAGTTTGGAGCTCCCCCTGCCTCCCTCGACTGTCCCATTGCAAGGACAAGCTGTAGGCTTGTGGGGACAATACCAGTAGGCTGGGGTCTTAGGCTAGGAGAGAGGGTACCACCTCTGCACTTACCCCACATCTGCTGCCTCCCCTGCTGCCTCCCATTCAGCCCTTCCATCTAGGCAGAGCCTGGCCCCTGTGGACACTAGGCTGTCTTCAAGATGGCTCCCCACCCCCACCTGCACTGGGGCCCATTGATCAGGAATAGCTGGGGGCCTCTTAGCTGCAGAAGGGAGAGAGGATCAGGAGAGGAGAGGGGGAGTTTTGAAACGTCACAATCTTCCCACCTGCCCCCTTCCACATGAGCCTGCCTCCAGAGCCAAACCCAGACAGTGGTCCAGCTCAAAGACACTACAATCAGAGGTGGTTTGAAGACACTCACCGGAACATCCCTGACCTGGGCTTTACAAACATCCAACCAAGTGTTCAGCTCAGGGAGAAAAGCCTCAGTCTGGGATTCGTACTGAGAACTGGGGACGGGTGCTTGCTTGAGAGTGAGGTGTTCTGCTGACCACAGGAGCCAAGCCAGTGTCACTCACTGGCTACCCCTCCCTAAGTGAGGCTGCAGCCTAGCCTGAGCTGAGACCTGGCTGTCCGCATGGCAGGTAAGTATGGGTTCAGGCTTACAGATCACTCTTCATGGGTTAGGGCTGCAGAAGAGAAAACATGGCACAAACCCTGTCCGCACATGCTCTGTAAGCAGTCCAGTGATACCGCCTATCTGGTGCTATCTTAGACATAAGATACCTCCAGCCACCTGTCTTTTTATTATTTATAATTATTGCATGCATGTATTCCTGCACATATATGCATGTGGGTGTGCATGGTGGGGGTGGGATAGCCATAGAACGTTTGCAGGGGTCAGAGGACAACTTCTGTGGAGCTGGCATTCTCCTTCCATCTTGTTGGCTGTGGAAATGAAACTCATGTTGTCTGGTTTTCACCGCACCCATTTAGCCTAGAGGCCCCTCCAGCCCCCGACCTGTCCAACAGTGCCCTTTGCTCCTGCTTACCAGGGGGCACTTCTGGGAATGGAGACCTTGCCTCCGGACTCCTGGCCACAACAAATTCCGTGGATCCGCCCATCCTCAGCCCCTTACAGGAATGTTCTCCACAAATTTTTGTTTTTGTTTTTTTGTATTCTGAACAGGGGTCTCATGTAGCTGAGGCTTACCTAAGTCAATATGTCACTAAGGATGACTTCAGTTGTCCAAGCATTGGGAGTACAGATGTGCACCACATCTGGCCCAAAATAACCTTCTTTAAAATCCAGTGCTGGGCATTGAAAACAAATCCCCATGCATGCTAGGCAAGCGCTCTGTTGCTGGGCTATGTCCCCAGCAGCACTTTTAAACCATGGTGAGTATACGTAATATAAAATTTTCGGTGTTGACTGTTAAGTGTGTAGCTCTTGGCATCAGGACATTCATGGCTGTGTACCTCTCACCACAATCTGCTTACTTTTTTTTTTTTTTCATTTTATAAAGCTTAAACTCTCATCCTCACTGAACATTTCTCCTCCTCCTATCCTGGCAACCACCACTTTCTGTGTTTCTGTAAAAATTTTTTTACTTTCTGTGAATAGAATCATACAGACTGGCCCTGTGCTTTTGGCCTATCTCATATAGCAGAATGCTCTCCCGGTCTCTCCCCACTGCCTCAGAAAGCCCTTTCTTTTGAAGGGTGACCGGTATTCCATCGTGGGCTACATTTTCATCATCTACTCATCTGTCAGTAGACACTTGACTGCTTCTGCCTTTTGGCTATTGAAGCAGTGCTGCCCTGAGTGTGCAGACACCTGTGCTTGAGTTCCTACTTCGGTGATTCTGTGTTTAGTTTTGTAAGGAACCTCTGATCTGCAAAGGCTGCACCATTTGAAATGCCCACCATCCCTAGAATTCCAATTTCTCCATAATTTCACTCACGTTTGTTAAGCTCTATATTCTTTTCTTGTCCTAACAGTCATCTCGACGGCTGCCAGTGTCTTACTGAAACTAGTGCCTTTGTTTTGTTTGTAGTGTTTGAATCAGAGTCTTATCCATTCTGTTTACTTATGAAATTTCCTTTCCATATATATATATATATAAATTTGTTTGAGACAGGGACAGGGAGACAGGGTCTCTTGTAGCCCAGGCCAGCGTCAACTCACTATATAGTTGAGAAGAGCCTTGAACTTCTTGTGCTGGCATTACAGACATGTACCACCATGTTGTGTATATTTTTAACGTCATGATGTGAACTGAACCCAGCATTTTGTGAACAGTAGGCAAGCAATCTACCAACTGAGTTGTCTTCCCAGCTGTGGGCCATTATTTTGTTAATATTTATTTTGTGTGTACTGGTTAGTTGTCCACTTCAAACCAACTAGCCATTTTGGAAGCGGGAACCTCACCCAAGGGATTGCTTGCATCGGATTGGCCTATGAGCATGTCTATAGGTGAGCATGTCTACAGGGCACTTTCTTGATTAGTGATTGATGTGGAGGATGCAGCCCCTGGCATGCGGTGCCACCCCTGGGCAGGTGGTCCTAGGTCATATAACAAAGAGAGCAGAACAAGCCCTGAGGAGAAAGCCTGTAAGCACGCTTCAGTTCATGACCTCTGCTTCAGTTCCTGCCTCCAAGCTCCTGCTTGAGTTCCTGCCAGACTTCTCTCAATGGTGGACAGAGGTCTGTAAGCGAATTTAACCCTTTCTTCCCCAATGTGCTATCAGTCATGTTTATCAGAGCAATAGTAAACTAGTCCAGTGTGTGTGCACATGGAACTCAGAGGATAAGCAAAATTGGGGTCTCATCTTCCACCACATAGGTCCTGGGAATGGAACCAGGTAATCGGGCTTGGCA